GTATCTTTACAATTTTAGCTAATTACGAAATGTGAGAATTATTTTATGGAGACCAGGGTTCCATTTTGTATCTTCCCTGCAGATGAACACTGTCCAACAGCAGATGCTGGGAGAAGCTATGGAAAGGGGAAAGGCCACCCTGAAACTTCCCAAGGGGTGAGGGAAGATTCAACAGAGACTTCCCAAATGTAGAAGCAACTGTTACAATTTTCATCTGCATAACTGCCATGTCACACTGAGAGCTTTAAGCATCTACATCAACCCATGCAAACACTGAGACACAAATGACCCCTGCCCTTCACATGCAGTATTGTCTGATCTTCACTAGTGTGAGGTAACACCTCACAGCCCCATCCCTGCCCTTCTGAACTTAGATTACAAAATGAGCAAGTCACTTCCCATTTACCCTCTACGTGCCATTTTCCAGTCAATTTCGCTACTTTACATTTACTAAATCTAGAATTGAAGGCAACAAGAACCAGAAGTTTTCCTTAATGAGACCACCACGAGAACTAGACAGTGCTTAAAGTAATACAAAAATTAGAGTATAAAAGTGGGAGCCACTGCTTTCAATCAGATAAAGAAAAGGCTGAACTCATTGCAATTGCCCAATACTAGCAGAATCCACTGACAATTACAATTGACAGCATAGTCCAAGAAGAAAATCTTAGACCAAGCACTGAATGCTGATCAGCTAGCGAGCCTAAGGAAACAGGCTTGATGCCACAAAGCACAGAATGCTCACTGACCAAAGCACAAAGTCATACTTAAATGCTGAGAATGTGAATATTGTTGTGAAAGCTGGAGCAGAAGCCTCTACACGTTGTCCCATCAGAACACTGAGTAATTAATAGCATCAAACCCACCAGTCACATCTGAACATTGCCCCTGATCTGAGAGAGCTGCAGGTGCTCAGACGTTTCAGAAGAAGACTCCTACTTTTGCTAAACCTGCCAAATTTAAAATACCATTTTAAAGTAGTTACACATTTCTTCAGAAATATCTTTACTTCTAGGGACTTAAAAGTTCTCAATCACAACTTTGCATAACCTGAGCCGTACCAATTCTGTAAGTCTGGTTCTGCTCAGCACTTCATGTTTTATCAACTGTAGGTTTAAAGAGCACAACAGTGCTCTCAGAGCTACACTGGGGTTAAACAGGTTAGAAGCATTGTTTGAAGCACAATTTCAACCAGCAAAACCAATACATAATTATTATTTAATTTCGTGAAAGTCATGATTTCAGCTTCTGAGCTATAGTGCCACAGCCAAGGGCAGGAGGGTAGTGCAGAGCTGTAAATACACCTCCTATTTTCCTAACCATCTCTTAGGAAATGTGCTATGTCAAACACTGGAAAGTGTGTCCACTGACCGAATTTTTTGTGCTTTAAAAGTATAATTTTGAAACATTTACAACTGACTATTCTTTTACTAAAATTTGTGTTGCCTTAGATGTCTGTGAATATGGCACATTTGACTACAATCAAACTGCACATGCAAGCACACAAAACTAGAAAATTACAAAGCAGATGAAGAATCTGGTATTTTTAAAAGCTGTAACTTTGTTTCTGTTATATTTCTTTCTCCAAGTTTTTCTCTGCTTTTACATATGAAATTGTGAACACATTTGTACAGAAGGCTAAAATTAAAAGTTCAAAGAGGGAACACTCACAACGTGACATGTGCAGGACAAAATTATCTAAGCTATCTTGTAATCCTAAGAAACAATTTACTCCACCCAAAATTTGTTTTCAGTCTCTAAAGTTCAATTAATAATTTTAATATAAATGGTATATTGTTCACCTTCTATGTAACTTATGGATATGAGCGTGCTAGCTAAGTATACAGAGATAAAACACTGTGTAAATAAAAGTAGCTAACAGTTCCACCACCCTCCAAAAGAAAAAAAAATCCAAAAAGCCACCAGAACATGGGGGGTGGTGCAATCTGCAATGAAAACACTAAAAAGCTACAATCCCACTATGATTTTGATTCTGGGCTTGAGATTCTCGGAATGTGCTAAGCCATTTCACAAAGCTCATTTTTCTTACAGGAAGTGATCTAATAGAAAAAGTACTTTACAATTTTCAATCAACAGAAATACAGATATGAATGTATCAAGCCAATATCTATAAAGCAAGGCATTAGGTCACTTCCTGACAATTAATATCTAAAATCGACATTTGTTACTGCACAAAAGCATGCTTCTAACAGCATTAGTTGAGAGAAGAACTTGGTATTTTTACAGTGGGTATATTGGCTCTGCTACCTCTGTAATCACTGCTGATGCATAATCCCTTCCCTGCCACTCCCCTGCATGTCACCCTCACGTTCCTGTCTCACAGCTCCAGCACATCTCAGTACATGCTGTTAGTTACCAAACAAGCTTTTTTCAAAAATTTGGCAGATTCTGCAATCTTTCTATAGTAAAACCAAAACTTGTTAAGATAGTCCAGCAGCTACTTTAAGAGGGTTTTCTGATGGAGGGGAAGGAAGGGGTCCTTTCTGAGGGGAGGGAAAATTAGAAAGCAGAGGAGGCTGTTTGTTTTTCAAGGCAGTGTGACAAAAACATCCTTCTCAAGAGAAAATGAGGCCTCCATCAGAAGGGTGTAAGTGGGGGAGGAGGGGACAGACCCGGCAGTAATGGAAAGTCTGGTCCATAACAGGAGGCTCATGGGCTCACAGAACATCAAATATTTATAACGAGCAAATGTGCTTGGTATGTTTTGTCCCTGGTCTGTAACCCAGAGTTTGACTGAACTGAGAGTCATTAACAGCACTCATACAGTGAGCACCCTGACACCTGGAAGCGTGTAAATGTTGCAAGAAAAGCCAGTCATGGCAAACACCCAGGAGCAGGGCAGAGACAGAAACTGCAGCGAGAGCTGGCGAGGCCCACGGGCCGCCCCCAGCCGCGCACGCAGGCGGCCACGCGCTTGACTCACCAGGCTTTTCTCAGTACTCAAAGTTTCTCGCTGAACAATCCCAACCACGAAGCAAGCTGTAATCTGAAAATCATGCCGCAACTTGCTTTCATATGTTGAACCAAAACTGCAATGACTAAGAAATAAAGCCAATGTTGCTGAACTGGCTACGGCTGCCTTTTCTGCAGCGTGCATAAATGTAGGCTGATCATTATCATTTAAGATGGAACCTAAAGTTTTTCCCTCCACTATTAAATTCTGTTTGCAAACCACATGAGGCAAAAACACGGATTTCTGATTTTAAGTTCTTACTTAAATACTTTTTTTTAAAAACTTACTGTTTACAAGAGAGGCTTTCCAGTGGAGTAAAAACTGAACTAGAGTAAGGTTAAGGACACGATGGCTCACTGCTGTCTCCTACCATTATTCAGCTGTCTTTGGTGGTTTCTTGATCTCTAAAACATTGATATTCAGCTCAGATAAGCATGTAAAGAGACAGCTACCAACATTTAAAAGCAAGTAACTTCTAAACATTATAAAGACAATGCAGGGGGAAAACTAAACAAAGGAAATAGAAATCCAGTCCAACCAGGTATGAACTTGACTCAAAAGAAACCACCTAAGCTTACAGAAACTTTCTGAAGAAATAGATGAGTCCAAACTATCTTGATTGAAGAGTGAGCAATTTCCTATCCATCACAAGTGATTTAACTGCCTAATAACTTTGTGCTTCTCCTACCCAAAGACTTTTCCCTGTAAGGGAACAGTCTTGCAGCATATTACAAATGAGATTTTTCTGGTCCTTTGAGAAGTTTGGTGACTACCAGGCACTAAACAACTTTGTAAATCATACTACTACTCTGCACAGGAATTAACTGCATTAGTCTATAAGCTTTGAATATGGAAATCTCACACTTGCTTAGAGAATTTTTCCCATAATTAACAGTTTATCCAGGAAACTCACTCCCTAAATGTGACACATACACTACACATAAGTGTTATGTAAAACAACATTCAGCAAGATTTATAAAATAGCAACAAAAATAAAGGCTGTACTTATGAATGGTGTAAGTTAGACGCAAACTCCAGATGGAATGGGATCTCCAGAGTTTAAAAATATCATCAATCCAGGAAGGAAGTTTAGTTCCAGTGGATACATCATCAGTGTAAATTCTGCTCAGGTCAAACTTTTTCAACCAAAAGCCACAGTAACTTCATCCTCAACAATTTACTGCTAGAAGAAAAGCTGGAGTATCATTACGTGGTTCCTCACTTTATTATGCATTAAAGTACATTATTAAATGCTCAATATTAAACTGATAATGTTCATTCTTCTGAGTATGTTCAGGTGACAGAGCTTAAAATCATGATGGCCTTGGTTTTTTTTAGTTTTTTTAATCACTGCAGCCATTTTTTTCTGCCATCTGTTTAAAACTGATTTAATGAGACAGGAAAAGTCATATTTTGTTGCTTTATCCCATAAGAGATTCTGAAACCAATCAGGACTGTGTCTGTCTAAGTCTATTACTCCCAATGTAAGTTGCAAACCCTCTGTATTCTATTGCATAAGAGCATGATAACCTTGTGGACTTGGGAGATTTTTTTGGATGTTCCACCAAAGAACATAACATATACATTACATTGTATTATATACATATACATTAATTTAAAACATTTATGATTTTAGTTCTATTTTTCTTTAGGCAAAACGTAAGTTAAAATTATCTGCCAAAGTATTACACTTCAACTATAAGTGAGCCTTTTATTTCTTGATATGCTCAGTTTCATTACAGAATGAACAAAGTAATAGACATTTGCTTATAACCACAGAACACCTTAAAATTTAGAAGTAATGGATTTGGATTTTTTTCATTGTAACTCTCATTCTTAAATTATTTAAGGTAACATTTAAGGTAACAAGCACACCATGCTTTAAATCTCAAGTGTGAAGCTGTGTTGAGCTGAACACCAGTCATTCCACAGCCACTAACAAATACTCATTCTTAAATTTGTTTCCCTTACTGAACATTTTAAAATAGTGACTTCTTTTTTTGTCTTCTCCAGCCTCTTCACATACCTATGGTTTCTGGCAGGTCCAGGAGCTCATTGTGCTGCAAGTCAAGGTTGGTGATCTGCATGCAGCTTCCAATCTCTTCTGGAAGATGTTCAAGCTGATTGTGCGCTACATCCAGCGTTATGAGGTTACACAACTCACCTAAAAGCACACAGGAAAACCAAAACATAAAGGACTTTAATGTACAGCTCTCGAGAATGACCTCCACACAGAGATTAATAGAATCAGATGGATTTTGGGATAAGCTGAAAAAAAGCCACTGCTACCATAAAGTTATACATATAAAATAGGGTATTACAGGATCATAATTTCATCAGTCAGATCTAAAACTTGATCAACAATTTTGAAAAGCTCAGATAAAGCTTGAATAGATTCTCCAAAAAACTGTTGTTTATTGATTGACTTTACTCTGACAGTTCAAGCTGTGGAATACAAGTACAAAACATGCATCTTACACTTGTTTCAGGCTGACCAGAAGTTTAAAACATCACCAAGTAAATGAATTGCATTAAATTTTGAGAAATTAAGATCTGTTTTTACAGCATGAATTACTTTCAGACACAAAATCAACAATTAAAAGACAGCAAAATTATTTGGCTGACAACCTAAATAATCCAAAGTCCTGAACACTATTTTTAAACAGTTTTAGTCATCATAAAAAAAGTCAACTTATGATAAGTAAAAACTTTATGCAAGAAGACCTACAGCAAATAAAAGTTTGAATTAAAAGGCATATCTGTTAAGCATTAAAAAAAGTTTGGATTTACTTGGAGTTTAGAGCCACTGTACACAGAACTATTTCACTTCTGACATTTACAAATTAATTTAAAAGCACAGCTAGGCACAACTCTCTGAACAGTAATTTCACCTATTTTTATGTCAAATACACTGTGTTCTGAGAAAAAGATTGTTAGGTTTGAAAAAAAAGAAAAAACCAACTGTGTGCGTGAATACAGGTGTATGTATTCACATTTTTTGCATCTGATGGAGGTGAAATTAATGCATATGATTTGAACAGCTTTTACTCTCTCCAGTACAGATGAGGTCACTGCATTTGTATATTAGAGCATGACTCAGTGAGTAACAAATCTGGAAGAGTAGCAAATTCCTTTTGAGGAGCAAATGTCTATTTTTAAGCTTCAGCATTGTATCTTTGACACAAGGATTTTCTCAGAGGCCTGTAGGATTATCCTGGGCAGGTTCTGACGTGCAGAGTGTCTACTCATTAGGTCAGCAGATAATCACAACTGGTGATTTAATACATCATAAAATACTATGAATTCAGACTCTGTGTAGAGTTCTGGCATCATGTAGCCACAATACTCAGTATGTATCACAGAACAATTGTGAAAGGCCAAGAAAAAAGTTAACCTCAAAGCTTCATTATTCTGTTTTTCTTAGATTGTTAATATGTAACTGATATGTTAACAGATCTTATTTCCTGCTAATTAACCCAAAATGGGATGTTCTTCTAGAAAGTAAGAAGATGAAAATGTAAAGCTGGTGCTCAAGCAGCTACTCCATCACTGTGCGTCCCCTCTCTTACATCAGCAATCGAGTGCAGTCCAGGCAACCAGACACAACAGCTAAATGTGCTGTATCCAGCACTGCATAACCCACACATCTCAATGCCACTGCCATGCAGAAGAAAGCAAACATAACAAAAGATTGAGCAAGAGTTAATGGTCTGTGGCAATGCCACCTTTATTATTCATGGAAAAAGTGGGCAAAGTGTAGAATGCAACAGGAAGAAGAAAAGCTTGAGGAAGGCTTAAACATCCCTCCCTTTAAACAAACAAAAAAAAGAGCTTCACAAAACTTTACTAAGTCAAGAACCTTCACCCACTTCAGGGCAGTAGTTTTCACTTCATAATTTCTGTTTTCATTTGTTTTCATTTCAGACCTTAACCAATGATGTCAAATTTGAAATATGGCATAAATTCCATTTCATTGCGCGCCGAGTTCTCATTTACTTGACTCTTCCCACTCTACATCTGCTGAAGTCAAAGAAATACTTGGAGGTTTTACAGCAACATGTGCTGCATTTCATTTTTGCACCTGCTGATGTCTTTGACAACAGCAAGCTAAATGTTTGAAACAAATATCTTACTACCTAATCCTAAGGAGGAAAAATAACGAGAAGTAATGCCTATGTCTCTCTAGAAATTTAAGGACAACCAAACACTTTAATTTGGACGGCCATACTTAATATGGTTATATTGAAGATGCAGGCATTATTTCTAAAAGCAACCCTGGTAAGCATTTAATAAAAATACTGAATGTTAAAACAGATTGAGGATAGCCCAACGAATTTTAGACTTTTGAACAGAAATCAAAAGTTAAAGCCCTACCATGAAGCATAGTGATTTAAGGAAAGGAATTCAAGAGATATAGAAATATTCAGCTTTTAATTCATATTGTAAGGAATATTGTTCTTGGACATAAAGTTACTTATAGCTTGACAGCATTTCATCAAAATGGGTTTATTGCCCCCTCTAAAGGTAGAGGGAGAGGGGAGATGAAATACTGTTGGCACTGAAATTTTTTTCAATACTTTAACTTGAATTACCGACACATAACAGCATACAAGTCAACAAAAATCACTCAAGATACATTTCTCCTGTTGCTCTCCATGACATATGACAAAAAAAAAATAAATCTTACAACCAATATGCTTAACACGGTGAAAAACGTTTGGGTGATGTGATAAAGACTCAGATCACAGAAGTGAAGAGCATGAACCCAGCTGTAGTGGTTTTGGTTTGCCAATTTGAGTTTCCCGTCCAACGCACAAAATAAGTGCTGGTTAAAATCACCAGTGCACCTACTAGAATTACTTACTCATTTCCTGCTGTGAGCTATGAATTAGAAGTTGGGCAGAGGGAGAAGAAGGGTTCTGAGGGTTTTGTTCCGATTCTTCTTATTCTTTTAGTTCTGTTAAAAAAGTTTTCTTCATACCTTTTAAGTTTTGAGCCTATTTTGCCCTCCTCCTAATTCATATCTCACAGCAGGAAATGAGTAAATAAGCCTAGTGGGTGCACTGGTGATTTTTGCTGGTGCTAAACCCACCACACCAACCTATCAACTTAAACACTCCATTTGAGATAGAAATGAAATTCTCAGAATCACTTCATAGCCCTAACAGTATACCTATAAAGAGGTTAACTCAGAAACTCAGGATCAAGTCCAGCTCTTCAGTGAATGGCCCACAGGGAGACTAAACCCACATCCTTGGTGTCATGAGCACCATACTCTGAACAACTGAGCTAACCGCTTTTTTACATCTTCACTTGCAAAGGCATACAGAGGACCAGCTGTGGCCTGAGAACTAAACTGGGTGTCCAAGTTTGTGTGAGACCCAACACGGCACATAAATGGAAAGGCTCTTCAGGGCACCTCGCAGACTGAGGGCTGTTACTGCATGTGGGGCTTGAACACTTATTGTGAGGTAAAAGGGAGAGCAGCTAGGGATGGTAAGAGCTGCTAGGGAATCTTTAGGGAATGGGAAAGGGAGGAATGAATGTAGCTTAGAAGGGCAAGTGTAGGAAAACAGAGGAACAAGGAACTAAAAGGGTCCAGTCCCTTACAACCCAATGCTGGTCATGTCCTGCGGCCAACCAGTACCACAGCTCTTCCCTCTTTTCCTGGGTGAGAGCTCCTGTTCTGAGGTCTGAGTACCAGCAATAGCTCAGTTAATGTGACCAGCACTACTGAACACATCCCAGGCCGTGGGATGAGAGGGCTCTGGGCACGGCGAGCAGCAGCCACACAGCAGGGGCAGCTCCTTGCCCGGCTGAGTGACAGCACCGAGCTACCCGTGAATGGGCACACTGTGCACGCACTGCTCACAACAGCAGCTCTGTCAGGAGTTACACCAGCACAAACACATGGCATGAGCAGCCAACACGACAAATAAACCACAAATAATGATCTGCAAATACAAAGAGGCCAAACTGGAGGCCATCTGCATAATGCTCTTCCCAGGAGCTGATGTTTCAGTGAGTGAAAGTGTCCTTCTTATTGTTTGAACAGTGGCAGCTGTACTGAGGAAACGCTTCTCAAAAAAAAAAAAAGTGAAAATAAGTTTCACCAAGTACAATTGAAATTGCATTTTTGCTATGCTAGGGTAAGAAGCATATGTTAAAATCAAAAACAAAGTTTTCCTAAAGCAAAGATTTGTTCAGGTACAAAAAGAAAAATGTCTAATGAGTAAGGAGCTCATTATCTTATTCACAGTAAAAGAATCAACATTTGCAATTTTTTTGTGTACTACATAAAATTTGCTGAAATGTGTTTTTATCTTGATTTAACAAGAAAAAAGTCAGCTAGAAATGTGCAGCAGATAAAAATCAGCCTTAACCAGAAAGAAGTTTCCTGAAGAAAAACCCTTTTCTTCTCATCATGTGGACAATTCCTGCATCACTGCACTAAATACTGTTCAAACACCCAAAATCACTACAATAAGGCAAGCACTGCTTTAGGGAAATATTAACCACAGGTTAAATGAGCTAACTCTTTTTGCCACAAGTAATGTCCAAAATAGACAAGTTCTAAGCTCGCAGTAGTGAATAAAGAACTCTTACAGACTACTTGCAGACCACTACAATGCCACTGCATTGAAGGGATAAGCACCCTCACAACAATTAAAAGGTAAACTAAGAAGGTGCTAGGGTTTGGAGTTAGTTGTTTTTCGGGAGACAGGTTTTTTGCCTTTTTCTTTTTTTTTTTTACTATATTGCACTGTGATTGCAAAGGACAAAAAGGCAATTAAAGCTCAAAGTCTGCCAAGAAAGCAGACAGGAATTGCATGTACTAGCTGGCTTGACAATAAAAGTTTAAAGTAGGAGCAATGCCCATTTGAAAAACATAAAACAATTTCTCTATAAATAACCTTCACAAAACAGTCAGTTACACCCTAGCATGTAGCTCTTAAAAATTTGTATTTTAAAAGGCTCTAAAAAAATCACACAATCCAAATGCATTTTTCAGAGAAGATAGTTTGTGAACCACCTTCCATTTAAAAAAACTTGTTAAAAATACAAGTATTCACCTCAACAAGCCTTTAAAAAGGTGGAGTGAGCAATCACCTCTCTGTTGTTCTCATACACACAAAGAATAAATGTTATAGTAGGACAATGCTA